TACTGTTATTATGAATAATGAAATTTACTGTATTGTTCATCTTGCCGTCTCTTATCAGATTCCCACAGCCCAGACAGTTCGTCTGTGTCCTCCCCACCTTCGGGCCAGCGCTCCCCTCCGCTGGTTCCCTCAGCTGCAGCTTCCATGACCTCCCTGCCTCCCATCACCACTGCCGGGGTCAACAGCCCCATCAGCAGCATTGGTTCCCCCTTTTCTGTTATCAGCTCTTCGCTGGGGTCGCCTTGTCTACCTGGCACACCGTCAGTGGGTTACGGCCCAATTAGCAGCCCCCAGGTGACATTTTGCTTTGTTTAGTATGGTTCAGTACATGTGGATGTATCCGTCATTTTGTAGGATTTAGAGCTTGCTACAGCTAAAGTGATGGCTAAACCAACTTTACTCTGTAAATCAGTATCATTCAAAATATTTCACGTTGTATATGCTCAACATTAAACACAAAGTATTCAAAAAATGCTGTTTTTGCTTTAGTGTTTGTCTTTGATATCAGAAATGTTTGTTCTTTGTTATGAGCCCATTTATATTGTTTTCTGTTTTGTGTTATTTACATGGAAGATTCTAATAGCTGTCTGTTTTCAAACATGTGGCAGAGAGAGAAGAGTAAGTAGGTTAAAAATTAGGTGCAAAGGGCCCATGTTTCATTTTCAGTGTCCTCTAAAGTTTATAGTGCAGTCTTGATTGTAATATTAAACACAGTCTTTGGATTGTTACAGAGATGAAAAGGGAATAGTGAATAATGTATCATAAAAAGCCTGGTTGTCATTGCATTTTGCATCTTTTCTGTTGCTTTCTCAGATCAACTCAACCGTGTCGATGTCGGGGCTTCATGCAGTGAGCAGCTCCGATGATGTGAAACCTCCACTGGGCTTGAAACAGCTGTCATCTCACAGCCCTGGGCCGATGCTTTCCCAGAAACGTCTTTGTTCCATCTGTGGAGATAGATCCTCTGGTGAGTAGACGTCTAAAATACAGCTACTTTCTTTGTGTTGCCTCTGAGTTAGTTTCATGTATGATTAAAAGCAATTATTCCCTTTTCTCTTAGGTAAGCATTATGGAGTCTACAGCTGTGAGGGCTGCAAAGGTTTCTTCAAAAGAACTGTGCGAAAAGACTTGACCTACACCTGTCGGGACAATAAAGACTGTACTGTGGATAAGAGACAGAGGAATCGCTGCCAGTACTGCCGCTATCAGAAGTGCCTGGCCATGGGCATGAAGAGAGAAGGTGAGCCAGCAGGAAAAGGCCTTGTAATCTGCTTGTTTTAAATCTTCTCTGTGTTATTCCTGTTTATCCAAACAAGTTTAGGTTAAATACGCAAAGAGCCAAATATTCACACACAAAATACTTTCTGCATCCTTTACAACTTGCAGTGTCCTAAAATCCATTATAAAATCACCAATTTCTTTTTTTAAAGGTTTAAAAGGTTTTTTACTATTAATAGTTGGACAAGAGTGTTGCTGATTCAGCTTTGCAATTTATTCTTGTATAACAAAAGGCCAAGAGTAATTTCCTGAAAGGCGCTTTCAATTGGCCCAGTGTTGTGTTTCGGCCTTGGTGCCTTTGCTGCAGGAACCAGTATCTAAATTAAGTTCCATTTTAAACTTCCAAAAAAGTCCCTGCCTTGTACTTGTGAAAATGTAATGGGTGGGGTTTGCAGCAGTGATCATTTCTGACTGGTGGGAGTAGCCAACATGAAGCAATTGAGCCAGCCCCTCACAGTCACACTGCGCAACAGTTTGTAAAAATCAGTTTGGTTACTTTAAAGTACGCCACAGAAATCTTTGGTTACTGTTTGTAAACACAGCTTTGAATCTTGGCCCTAATGTCCCCATTCAAAGGGTGAGAGAGAGAAATGGAGAGCAGCTTCAGTGAGCCGAAGCACGAGTGAAGGAACGGAGAGTGAAAACAAAGAAGTGAAAATAGGACATAAACATTTTTCTGAAATACAAATAAATAAACTCACATCTCGGTACAACCCTGCTCAAAACTGTAGCTTTGCCAG